CTTTGGATTATGGTAACTTGGTGACTTTTTGGCGACCAACCCTGCTACAGCAACCTGCTAGTTTTTTTTTTTTTTTTTTTTTTTTTTGACGCCATTTTGTTTTCACGAAGTAAAGGCATTTTTTTTTTTTTTTAACTCAACATTTTTTCCAGCAATCTGCTAGTCGAATCACGCTTATGCTAGAACTTTTATGGAACAAAAGTGCTTAATCATGACGAAGATTAGGTACGAAATTGGGAGAAAGTGCAGAATCGCCCGCTGCTTGCCGTGTTTATAAGAATTGCACATACACGGTATCATCCATGTACACGTCAACTTATTTTCACTTAAAAAAAAACATCACAGAATTGCACAAAATTAGCATTGCACACACTCTTGACTTTATCCATGTACACTGCTAAACTCCTAGCTAGTAACCTTTATCGCCTTACCAAAATGTCGCCAAACTACTTGTTACCATATTCCAAAGATTAGCTGAACAAAGCATTTACCAGAATTCGCAACAGAAATTCCTATGAAAGATTTATTCTGCAATACAAAATGTGTCTGCACTTCAACAAATTATAAAATATACAGTACAAAGTACATAATCCAGACTTGTCAGGACTTTGGCGATTCCGGATAAGGGGTTTTTCCGGATTATAGATCATCAATTGAAATCTGGCAAGATGGCCTGCAGAAATTATACATTTAAAAATATGAAACTGTAATTTATGAAATAAAGAGCAATTATGATCTAAATGGTATCAAAATTTAAAAAAAAAAAGGCTTAATATTTTAATATTTATTTGTTTACTTTATTAAACATTTCTTTCAAAGTAAGTTGTTCAAGTTGCTTCGTTTTTTTGTGCTAATACTTTTTCTTTAATTCTATAAACAGACATAATTTCTTGTTCAGTTACAAAGTTCCACTGTTCAAGTCCTGTAATTGTTGTGTCAAGAATACCGACTAACTTGTCAATCGAAATTTTTTCGTTTTCCATAACCTCCCTGTCACTTTCTTCACTATCGGAAGAGCGCATGTGTAGCCGACGCGTGCATTAAACGCGCATGCATAAGTTTGTAGCTTTGAGGTCTGGATTATAGATCATTCCGGATAATGGATGTCCGGATTACGGACTTTGTACCGTATTACTGAAAAAGAAGGTACAATTGTAAATAACTCATCATATTACATGAGTGAATTAGCAAGTATTTAAGAGCAAGTAAAGACTACAAGTTCTGTCTACATTTGTAAACAGCAAGAAAGAAAGAGAAAATCATGTCAACATACATATACAGATAGAAAGTGTCATAACATATACAAATGGAAAGTCTTCTTTCCATCTGTATATGTAATATATGGTTTCCTTACTTACTCTATTATTGTATTACTTTATATATTTTACAAAGGACCAATGGGTCCCATTGACGAGGTCAACCAAATTTTCTGTCAAGTGTGGTTAATCGATAATGCTCTCAGCTTTTATGGCTGCATATGCTGGGGAAGAAAAAGTATATGATGCCTTACATTATGTCCTATGCAGAAAGATTAAACAAAATTTTATTGGAGACTATGAAAACTGCCCAATGTATCCATTGCTAGGCTAAAATGGCTTAAGGCTTATCTTAGTCCTAGATAAATAAATTCCCATATAAACTTAAGGCTCATCCTGAGCTAATGCTTGTGCCTTCCCTAAATTCTGAAGATTTTGCCATTCCTCAGTTTTGGTGCTCAGTATTTCTCTAAATTTTTAAAGTTTTGACTACCCTAGATTCTGCTATTTGGTGCAGCTACAGCAAATCTGGCACTGGTGCAAAACCTATCTGAATAACGAATCAGTTATTCTCAATTCAGATAGCACTAAATGTAATCTTTCATTCACAAAATCTACATTTTGGATATGGAAAGAAGTTTCTATTAAACTTCTCGTCAACACACTCAACACTTTGCAGCAAAGTCAGCTGAAATTTATAATCATTGCAATCGTAACGTCAACATAAAAAGCTATCATGCTCTTTGGTATTCAATTATTAATATTTTTTTTAAATGTTCGACATCGCTGTGCGAGTCATTTCTCAAGTTGCTCTGTGTTAACAGTCACATGGTGAAGAAAGCAAACAAATAATAAATAACAATTTGCCAGTTTGGCTTCAGTGATATAAATTATTTAATAAGTTTATAATGAACAATATTTCAATATAGAAAGTTTCAGTTCGAGATGTTCGCCAAGCAAAAAGACAGCTACAGAGCCAAATTATTATCATGCAGATTTATGCTAATAATTATTGTCTCTTTAATATGGAGTGAGGCTGAAGTGAAAATAAGTGCTGAAATGAAATTAAGTGCTGAAGTGAAATTAAGAATTGGTATTCTCCATGTTTTATTATGGAAAAATATTAAATGCATGTGCTTAAAGGTTGCTATTGATTTGGATGTTTGGATTTTTGGTCTTTCTAGATCCTGGAAGTCTGGATTTCTATCTTTGTACTGTATAAACAACCACCTTTAAAACTTCTAATCAAATATAAATATGGCATTAAATTATCTTCATGATTAATAGATCATGAAAAGATTAACAAATTAATCATATAAAATAATTCAAATTTATTTTGAACAATACAGTTCATTAGAGAATTAAAAATTAGGAAATAACATTAGCAAGGATTCATACTGTTTAAACATAATAATATTTTGAATCTAAAATAACTAAAATCGAAGTATTATTAGGTACTATGATAGGATCAGTTTATATTTGATTCTTTTAACATACAACCAGTTAATTTCTATCATTTTTCGGTAAACACAGACGTACAAAAAATCAGAAGAGATTTAGTACAAACTAACAATACTGATTTAAAAAATACCAAGCCAAAACATACAGAAATAAAATAGCAGTCAGAAACTGTAATATATATATATCAACAGACATTTAACAAAGACTGCCTATTCTCATGCACTTTTAATGAAATTTAAAGTGGTTAATAAAAAAATCTGATAATAAAAATTTAAATTCAAGTTAAATCGTGCTTCTGCCTTAAAATACTTTTTCTGACAATATTTAAAAACCAAATTAATTTAAAATGTTCTAGTTACACAATTAAAAAAAATCTTTATATTAAAAGCATTATGTTGCATTGCTTCAGTTCTGAGAAGCATCCTTTAATTAAAGAATTGCCATAAAGAACATAATGCATGACTGTAACTTACACATTTAAATCTTTTCTTAAATAAATAAACACAAAATAATAATTCTTAAATAAACACACAAGTTTCCACTGACATTAATTTATGAGCATGAATTTATGACATTAATTTATGAGCACTGTTATTTTAAAAACCTCATTTTAAATAAATGATTTTAGAGACTATATCGTTAATGTCTAGGGATTCCTTCTTAAATTAATATGCTATTGTTATTTACTTAGTTCAAAACTTTCAGGCACTAAACTGAATACTATGTTCAGACTGCATATTTTTAATCCTCTCTTGTTTTTTTTTTTTTTTTTAATTTTAAAGATAAACTCTTTTCTTTTTTTAAAGTATTAGACTATAACTTGAAATTTTAGATTGCAATTTTCTTTTAATTAACAATCATAATTATTAATATACATGTACTAATAATTATGATTGTTAATTAAAAGAAATTAACAGTAAATTACAGTAACTAATCAATTACAGTAAAATATTTAAGAACTATATCCTAAGAAATGCTTTAGCACATATTTCTCTAAGGCAGTATAGCTTACTTTCACATTATATACATTAAAAAACACACACACACACACACACACAAGAAAACTAATTGCTGACATTACAGATAACTAACAGAGCTATTAACTGTATGGTTACTAATGAACTCAATATCAAAAATAATATTACTAGGTATTTCCAAAGTTCATTCAAGATCATATATGTTGCAATTTACTTAATTAAATTAACAAAAATAAAAAATCAAATATGTAACCAAGCACTTTTAATACTATCAAATACTTTTAATAAATTAACAAATTAATTTTAAAAAAACTGTAAGTAAATTTTCTGAAGATTTAAAAACGACAGAAAAACATAAAAGGACATTTGTAAGTAACCTAATTTTATTTGAAGTATTTAAAATATTGTCAAAATACGAATCCCTCCTTTGAGCTACAAGTCCAGCTGGGCACATTGGAAATACCCTATCTCAGTGTGATCTTAAGATAGGCTAGTAATATAATCCTATTTTGTAGGAAATAAATTATCTTTAGTAGACAAGTAGCTGGAGTCAAGCATAACTAGAAATAATAACTAACGAGACATTAGGGAAGGGTAACACAAGCTACTAAAGTACGTAATAATGAAGGCAAGGCTCTTTTACTGTTGCATACAACACAAAAAGGTCAGACGAAATTTCAAAACAGGAAAAGAGAACTGGGGATGGAATAAGCTTACAATAGCAAAAACTGAGTTTATGGGGGGTAAATTGGGCTGCTTTCAATACAAGTAATGAAACAAAGAAAGCATTAATATACATTTCAAAATATTAAAAGTTATGAAAACTGGTTAGCACAGCAGCGAAACTCGCATAGCATCTCTTTTATTACACTTGCCATACTAGTATTAGTAAGCCAAAGTTTCAGATATCATGTGAGATTCAATGGAATTAGAAAATGTTGCTGTTCTCATACATTTGTTGAATATCAAGCGAATCCTTTACTAAATAAATGAATGGAATATTATTTAAGTTTGATACACATTACAACATTAAGAGGAAAATAACTTCCCTAGCGTTGACAGAAATAAAACAGGTAAAGCCATGGCTGCGTTGAAAATGCAGAATCGCCCACTGCTTGGCGCGTTTTTAAGAATTGCACATACTCAGTATCCATGTGCACGTCGACCTATTTTCACTTAAAACAACATCCCAGAATTGCACAAAATGGCATTGCGCACACTCTTGACTTTATCCATGTACACATCGTCTTTGTCACTTAAAAAGTCAAACAAAATTGACAAAAATCTAATTCTTCTTACTCTTGTAAAAAGCGCCAAACAAATAAGTGGGCGATTCTGCACTTTAGCTGCTGCTTTTAAAAATGCTTTCAATTACATATTTAATAATTCTAAACATCTACTACCCAATTCTAACAGTACGGAACTACTTTCGTCGCATTGTTTACAAACAGCACGACCCCGTTACACGCCTACGCTCAAATACCGAAGTCACATGAACGTTGTTAAAAAGCATGGTAGGGCACACTCAGCAAAGAAAGTCTACACAGTGCATATTCTTTGTCCTCAGTCCCGTATGCAGGGAGAGAAAATTTTGGTGTAGCACCAGCAAATATGTATTATTGTACATAGAACGTTCTTTGGCACCAGGGCAAAGAATATGTATTGTTCTTTGACCAGGGCGACTGGGTCCAAGCAAAGAAGTCCAAGACCGTACCCTACACTGAATAATAGTGTAGTTTGCGAATGGTACAGGAAAATAATTTGTTTTCGTCAAAGAATCTTCTTTGTTTTCGTCATAAAAGAACATCCAAAAGTAGCGCTATTTAATAGTTCGAGTAATCGCGGCAAACAGCGGAATTTGGATTAGTTACTTTTCGTATCACATGTTATCGGTAACCGTTGTACATTTCAGTTTTGAGTAGCGTACGGCGCATTGGTGCGGTAAATCATCAAATTTAATGTTATGAGAAGATTTTATCGAAAATACTTATTTTTGTGTTAGTATTTTATCATTTCAATGCATGTTAAATTTCAAAATTTTTACTGGGTAGAGGTGTGTTTTAATTTTAATATTTGACTTCTAGGAATGGATTTGAGTACACTGAATACATCGCTCAAACATAGAAATATGTTTCCGATCTTTGAATTTAATATACCGTTGCAAATATGTTTTAAGCATGTTGCTGTATGCCGTCATTGCTTATGTTATTAAAAATAAAGAAAATTTTAAATTTTTGATTCAAAATAGAATGGAGTGCACCTAAATTCGTTTGACTATTTCTAACGGACTTTTACCAGTTTTTTTTTTTTTTTTAATCAAAATTACAAGAATTTCTTTTTCCTACAGTAAATTGTATATTTGTATTGAAAAGGTAGCCAGGAAAAAGTGCTTTTTACGTCCATTTTAATTCATGTTTTATTTTATTTTTTTCGTTTCCTTTTTGTTATTAAATATGCAGTTACATATTATTTATGAGGTAGCATTTAAGTTTGGGGAAAAAAAACAAAAACAAAAAAAAAAAAAAAAAAAAAAAACAGCTTTCTTTTCTTTAACCTTTATCATCATTATTACTTGGCTTTTCTTCCATCAGTATGTGACTGATTATTTGAAAATTTCATTCCTGGTGTATTTCTGAGGAGCAAAACATCTTGGTTGTGAAATGACTTTAAGGTTATCGAGAGTGGGATGGGCTACCTGTATTAAATTTTGCAGGGCATAGTTTAATAATGAACCATATAATATTAAACCTAGCTATAATGTTATTACTGGACATTAAACTTCAACGAAAAAAGAAATAATAAATTTGGGATTTAACTTTTTTCTAAAGTTAGACCATTTAAGAATTCTGCCTTAATATTTATATGAAATACAATAAAATATCATTGATATGTATTTCGAGATACTGTCTAAGAAAGTAATGCCTAATTTTCAGTTGAATTTTTAATCTGGGTGTATGACATTAACTTTAGTAAATATTAGTAGTGAGTTTCTTTTTTCATTATTGAAGAAAGCTACTGTATCTTTTTCTTTATCGCCTCTATAATTATTGCCTAATACCAGATTTCAATACCTATATCAGAGACTTCTGAGAGATATGTCTTTTGATTTAATTCTATATTATAATCGGTACACTTATTAAATCTTGATATTTTCATTGTGATATCATTTAATAAAAAATTTGCAGTTAAGAAATAAGAAACATTAAAGTATGTTTCTTATTTTTTAACCAGATTTAAAATTACTCGAGTGACTGTAAGTACCTTTGAGTTAAGCAGAGTTCTTATTGTATGAGTGTTAAGAAATCTGAAGAAATTAAATCATCATGTATAATATGTGCATTGAAATATACTTTTCTTTTACAGGTATAGAAGGTTTGAAAAATTTTAAGTCATGGTGTTGTAGTGCAGCCTTAGATGCATTCCAGCTGAATTTCATTTGCATTGAAGCATATAATTATTTCATCAAACAAAATTGCAATTATTTCCTTTTTCATGCAGACATATTTTTAGAGTGACTATGATCATCTTTCTGATATTATTCTTACTTATGAGTATTTTGCAAAGTGTAAGAAATTAACTCATGTGTAATATATGTATTGAAATATTCTGTCTGTTTCTTTCTAGGTGATAATGTGGCCTATATGCAGTTCAGCAGGATTTCATCTGCTTCTAAAGCTACTGATATATCAGAACAAATGAAGCATCATAGTGGTAATCTGTTGTATGTTTGTCAACTATGTAATAAATCGTTCAGTCTGAAATGTAATTTGAACACTCATTTAAAGCTGCATATGGGAGAACGTCCATTTGCATGCCATCTGTGTAATAAACGCTTTAGTTTAAAGGGAAATCTTAAAATTCATCAAAGGATTCATACTGGAGAACGACCATATGAATGTAATGTTTGTAAAAAGAGATTTACTCAATACAGTGGCCTCAAAAGCCATTATAGAAAACATATAAACTGATTTACAGTCAAGCAGTTATTCCAAATGAAATTAGTTTTTATTATATTATTTTTGATGTTTTGGTACTTTTCTGTTATCGGGATTGGATTCAGATATCGCCAAAAGCTGATGATCTGGTGAAAAATTCAAAACATAAAAATAGTTGCCAAAATATTTATGATAAGGTTAAGTTGAAAAAAAATCCAAGGAAATATATCGTGATGGATAGTAATAAAATTGGAAATTTTTATTAAACATCTTGCCAAAGAAATTGGGAAAGAAAAATTCAGTTACCAAATTAAAATTAATGTGGATGCATGAAATTGTGGATATCATTTAAAATGTCTGAAAACATTTACATTTAAAGACGCTGCTGCCATAACTTAAACATAATTAAATAAGAATCTAATTGTTTAGGGGCAATGCCGCATTTGATGCAAAAGCAGACTTTTGTTAACTTCAACAGTATTACTAGTGATGCTTATTTTATCTGACAGCCTGGACATTAATGCATAGTCAAAGACTTATCTTATATAATTGCCCTTATCAACAGCGGTGAAGTGATTCATATCAAGCTAATACTGACAAAATTCTGTGAAAATTAATTCTAAACACCATGCGTGAAAGAAACATGGTTTTTTTTGTGATCTTTGTTTCAGAGTGAATAATGCTTTGTTCCCAAAGAAACTGATTGAAAGATGTTTAATCATTAAGTCCCAAATTTTCATATCCGGGTTAAAAAAAAAAAATAATAAAACACAAGTGATCATGTTATCTGTAGAATTTGTATTCTCATTGCCACTTTTAAAAAGACATTCTTTTACTTAAAAAAAAAAAAAAAAAAAAAAAAAAAAAAAGGCATCAATATTATAACGATTTGATAAATAAATATTGGCAACTTCATATGAATCAATGTTTTGTTTAGTGAAACATTTGGTGATGACTCTGGTCCCAATAACAGAACAGTACCGATATTTTTTTAATCATAAAACAAAATCTGATATTTGCTGATTATCTGCACCCTCTCAAAAGTCACATATTTGCCAAATTGTGAAATGGTAAAAAAAAAAAAAAAATTGTTTGATTATATTCATGCTCTGAAGTATTGTCTGTTCATTATGACTATAGTAATACTTAACAGTTCATGTTGGAATGCAGTTTGAAGTACCAGGTGCATAATTAAATATCATTATTTTTGATGAATTATGTGTATTCAATAAACATACTATTTTATTTATCTGTTTTAAGTAACTAAACAAATAAAACATTTTTTATGATTATTTTCTCTACAAAATTTTTAAAGGACAGGCAGGTTTAAGTTTTTGATATTAATTGTGGGAAAATTACATCTTTACAAAAGTAGTTTAATGGTGAAATTAGGGAATGTGGATAATCAGGTATGAAAATAAAGCAGAACTTAATAAAATAAATGAAAGAAAAGAAAATCAAGCAGTATAATTAATTTCACAAATGCAAATTATAATTTTATTTAGAAGTATGTGAGATTGAGCTGTTTGATATTTTAAATCATTCAGTGTCTTAAAATGTTATTTTTTGTTAAATCAGTGCTTTCATATAATATTTCTGCTCTTTAAAAAATATTATTAAATATAAAGGAAATATTTTGGTAACTTTCATTATCTATTTTAAATAACCATATGCTCTTTAATTCTATATTTGATCCATATGATTATTCCTTTATCCCGTTTTCCTCGAGTATTTTTATCAGTTTTACTGGGTATAGCATCAGAACTGAAATTTATTGCTAAAACATTCTTGATTTTCGATCTGATTTCATCATTCTAATGTATTTGTATAATTTTCTTTGTTAATAAGTATGCAGTAATTTTTATTTTGCTTTGGTAAGTATAGCAGAATGCAGATTATCTAAAATAAATGGGCCTGAATACTATGTGGTTGATCTTTGGATTAAGGTAACTTGGCGAAAATTTGGCGACCAACTCTGCTACAGCAACCCTCTTTTTTTTAATTTTTTTTCCCGCCATTTTGTCTTCACGAAGTAAAGACATGTTTCTTTTCTTTTTATTTACTGAACACTTTTTCCAACAATCTACTAGCCGAATTACACTTATGCTAGAAATTTTATGTAACAAAACTGCTTAATCATGACAAATATTAACTGCAAAATTGGGAAAAAGTGTACAATCGCAAACTCCTTGCGCGTTTTTCAGAATAGCACATACACATAAACCATTTACACGTCGACTTATTTTTACTTAAAAAAACATCCCAGAATTGCACAAAAATGGCATTGCGCACAGTCTTCACTATATCCATGTACACTGCTTTTTTCTCATAAATTAGAAAAATTTCATGAAAATGCATGAAAATTTTGTGAATCTTTAAATCCGGTAAAAAGAACATATATGAAATTACCTGATCGCAAAAAGTATATACCCTTTCCAAAGCTGAACATTTCCACGTATAAAATAAATAAAATATCCAAAAAATTTTACCTCTAAATTATCTATTATATTATAAATGTCACCAACGAATTCATACCGCAAACATTACATATGATTACAAATACTTAGTGTCAAATATTTAAATTACTTCCATGCACGTTTACTTCAACTGAAACATATACCAAATTCCTACAAACATAAAATTCACAAAATAACTATCATTTAATTAAAATATCACTAAACCATGTACACGTCGACACAGAGCAGCGTGAAATTGATAAACAGATTTCGGAATGATTAGAGAAACAAAGGAGCCTTTATCCATTTTTTGCAGCAATTCCACTTTTTGTTTGATGGACATCGAAACATGCTTTCCCTTTGTAGATCCTTTTGCAGCTCCAGCATCGGAAATTCTATTTGACATAATCTAAAGTTCCTACTTACTTTTATACTCTAACAGTCTGCAAAAAATAATAAGCCAGATCCAATTCGAAGATTAAGGAACAACCCAATCTGCAACATTAACTGAAATAGATAGTTTTAGCTTAGCTTATACCGTCCATTATACATTAAATGCGCATGCGTAAAGGTATTACGTGCGTGCATCAACACATTTATGCCTTGACACAGAAAGTTTGTAGCTTTGAGGTCCGGATTATGAGTGTCCGGATTTACGTCTTTTGACTGTACATATAAAATTTGTTATTAAAGTGCAATTTGTTGAATGTTATATTAGAAATATAGTTTAATATCTATAATGTATTTTCATATTACTTTTAGTTTTGCTTAGTATCAAAATTTGACTGTAGCACAGATGTTTTCCATTTTAATCACGTAATATGCTGCTGAGTGCATATTTATTAAGTTTTTTAAATAGTCTTAAATTCTTTTATATTTGTTATGACAAATTTTTAAACAGCTGATATTTTCATTTACAAAGATGTAAGAGAAACACAACAGCATGGAAAATAAAACAAGCAAATCGACAACCTTCTATTCGGCAGAGATTTTGTAAAATTCCAATCGATTTCAAGGGCAAAACGGGTCCCCCTTATGAGAGGCTTTTTTGCAGAATTTTTTGCTCGTGATGAAGGGGGATTTCTTATAGTTTTCTACCTAAAGAGGTTAAACCTGTTTAGTTATGGGCAAAAGTTTTTCCACTAGGAGTTAGTATTTTGCAATGAAAACTCTAAATACCTGTTGTGCTTCATCAGTATGATATTAATTACAAAAACTAACATTTTAAAAGTAGCAGTTCAGAAATATTGAAGCATAGGATTTATTTGCATATTAAGTAATTTGAATGTCTTTTTGAAACTTGCATCTAATAAATTCATTATAAATGTAATGGTATATATTTGGTATAACATCATACATAAGTTGCTGGCAGTATGCTGCAAAAGTAAAAAAAAAAAATCCTGAAAAATAATATAAATGTTACAAAAAATGAAGGACTGTAACAAAATTACATTTCTTCCTTGCATATAGTTTCTTGTGGCCTTCTTACATGTAATTTCTGTAATTGTTTTTAATATGACTTCAAAAATTTTTTTCCTTTTTTATGTTCTGGCACCACGTAAGTTCTGCTGTGTATGTTTTTAAGTGATGAAAAGCCATACGTAGTATTCTTTGAAAAATAAGGCCATTTTATTTTGTCATAAAATATGCAAGAATGATCTGGAAATGCAACTTTATATCAACGATGAAAGCATCTGGAGATGCTGTGTTAAAACTTGTGAGAAGGAAAAAGGCATTCCTCTCAGAAATTGGTTTTGTATTTTTCAGCTACCATTCCTAAAACCATTGCAGTTTATTTACAATTAGACAGAGCAATCACTCATTAAATAGTACGAAAAGGAGTTACAAGAATGTAAAACAGTTGATGATTGAATAGTTATGCTGAGCGTATGATATGTTAAGTAGGATTGCTTTTCTGTTAGTGATAAACTTTATTGTGTGATTAATTGTGCAAGAGGTGATTTTCCTCCTTTTACAGTGCCTGTTGTAACAAACAAGCAAAAAAAAAAAAAGATTCCCAGTAAATGAGTTTTATGTATAGATGATAAGTTTACCTGTTTAAATTTTTTCTCCCTTCATATTCTGCAAAAGTCAATCAATAAAACTTTTCTCTTATTACATTACTGTTGTTATGATTCACAAATTGTTAGACCTAGTATGCCATATTGTTTCTCTTTATCAATTATTTAAACATTCACTGAAGGAATATTTGTTTTTTGATATTTATCTGTACACTGCGCAAAAAAAAAAAAAAAAAGGCACGGGGACAGTTCTACATTTCTTGTGCTACTGGGCCGACTGGTGAAAATCAAATGGCGTTTTTCATGTCTCGAAAGCGTGGCTTAAGATATACTCGTATATTAGAGTTATAGCAAGCATTGTTCTAACATACATACTTTGAAAAAAATCGGACTTTTTCTGTAAAACATACAAATTTTTTTCTATATTTCAATTCTACAACTCGAATTATGCCTAGATAATAAATTTTGTAAAATTTGGTGCCAAATTTACAAAGAAATTCAAAAATTTACCTTGGCGCAATTTTTTCAGTTTGCACTTGGTGAACTTTATAATACAGTCAAAAGTCTTTAATCCAGACTCGTCAGGACTTCGGCGATTACGCATTATAGATCATCAGTTTAAATCTGGTAAGATGGCATGCAGAAATTATAAAATTAAAAATATGAAACCGTAATTTATGAAATAAAGAGCAATTATGATCTAAAGGGTATCAAAATTTACAAAAAAAAAAAAAGCTTAATATTTATGTGTTTACTTTATTAAACATTTCTTTCAACGCACGCATGCGTAAAGCATACATTATCCATAATTGAAATTGGAAAACTATTTGATGTGTATTCGTGATATTTATAATGACGAGAAATTTGATTTAAATCATATCAGAGTACATCGAGATGAAATACTACATTTAGTAAGGAATTATAGGCCAAATAAAAACATGTGCCCTGAAGATAAGGATAGTGCTGCACATCAACTTCTAGTTCGTTGCGTGCCATGACTTAACCCCCCCCCTTCCCGCCGAAGAGCAGCGTGAAATTGATAAGCAGATTTCGGAATGGTTAGAGAAACAAAGGATATGCCTTTATCCATTTTTTGCAGCAATTCCACTTTTGTTTGATGGACATCGAAACATACTTTCGCTTTGTAAATCCTTTGGGAGCTCCAGCATCAGAAATTCTATTTGACATAATCGAAAGTTCAAACTTATTTTTATAAAATTGCTCTAACAGTCTGCAAAAAATAATAAGCCGGATCCAATTCGAAAATTAAGGAACAACGCAAACTGCAACTTTAATTGAAATAGATAATTAGATATTTTTAGCTTATACCATCCGTTATACATTAAATGCGCATGCGCAGTCATAAAGATCTTACACGCATGCGCAGAAAGTTTATAGCTTTGAGGTCCGGATTATAGATCATTCCGTATTACGGGTATCCGAGTTAACGACTTTTGACTGTATATGGTTATGTTACATTGCAGTTTTAATAATTAATATTTATATATTAATTTAAGACTAGTGTTTTTTCTGTCTTTTGGATTCAGGGCCAACTGATATACAAATTATTTGAAAACGCTACAATTTCGTATGTTTGTGCTTGTTATAAGAACAGTGGTTGCATATTAGTTGGCTCAGAAACAGATTAATTTTGTTGTGCATTTCTTTAGACCCAACTTCTTGAAGATGTCCTAGGAGATGTAAAAACCATTTGCTTTAATTTTTATAATAATTTATTCTTCCTATGTCAAAGTGAATATGATATCTGACTT